TCTCGGAGAACTCTGCTGACGCCAACTCTGGCTGCACATCGGCGCTTTCATTGCTGGCATCTAGTGTACCGGCTGCCACGTTGCAACGGTCTGATGAGAAAGTGGAGACTGAGGTGGAATCTGTGGAGACTGAGGTCCATGAGGTGAAAACAGAAGGGAATGATGACTTGGGAAGTGTCCACGTTGCCTGCAAGACCGTGGACGTCATTCAATCTGAGAAGAGTGTGTTACACAAAGAAGGGGAAGTAAGTTATGATTACTTCAACGTTGAAGAGGTGGTTGAGATGATAATTATAGAATTGAATGCTGATAAAAAAATTGAAGCACATGAAGAATACCATGATGGAGATGATGGGTTTAGCCTTTTTGCATATTAGAAGCATGGTTATGGGGAGAAGTAGGAATAACTTCATTCTAGATGTTAGGAAAATGCTTCAACCTGAAGCGTTGTAGTCATTCGTGGTTTTCATCTTACTGAGACATAGCTTTATACTATGAGCCAACCGGTACAAGAAGTTGTCCTGTGTGTTGAGTTCCTGTACTATAGTAGGAAATGAGTCCATGTTTAATGAGCTCTCTTGGTTGTTAATATTGCACATTTGCTCGGCTGAACTCAAGTTAGGTCAAGAAAAGGAATGGTAAGTACACCGAATAAATCTTTAGGATTGCATTAAATTGCAAAGCAGGCATATGAGCAAGTTATTTCATTGTAATGGTACATTCAGTTACAATAGAGTAATCATACTTTTTGTGCCTCATACATGCATGGATTTTTCAATGGTTATATCTCATACTGCTATACAATCATTCAGAGTAAAGTGATTTATGGAAACTTTGTAAGGGGAAGCTGCAGGCATTCTCTAAATTCAAGCCACCTTGTTTCGCTATGGAAGGTCCTTTGTTTGTTAGGCCAGTATGTTAGCCAAATCCAGCCTCGGATTTCCCAGTTCATAGTCTTTCCTAGTGTTGCACCACAGATCTTCCACCAGACACTATCTCCATACTCATCACGTGCAAAAATGACACCCCCCTGCTTTGTGAACGGGCGGTATGCATTTGAGTACCTGTCACGGAACCAGGCCCTTGGTTGAAGCAGAGAAAGCTTTGAAGGTTTTGAGGAATAAACCTCCCTTCCATTGACACCATCATGAAGAAACCAGTTCAAGGTTGCAGTGTTGCCATGCACAGACTGCTCAAATTTCCAGGGCTTCATGGCCAGTGTAAGGCTTTCAGTGACTGATGCCTTCAGACCAAATGAGTTTGGGGGATCAAAGGAACCCTCAAAGCCCTTCTCAAAACCAAATTCATGTGTGAGGTTGTCGTTGGACTTGCCGACAGAAACAGACAGTACATCAGATTGTTGCATAGGTGTGATTTGCAGCATGACACGAGATGGGAAGTGCTTCTCTTCAGAGCCATATCCACGTTCTGCCATGAGGGTCTCAGAGACCAAAGAGTCCACATCACACCTGTGATAGATGCCAAAAGTGAGTGCTGTCTGTTCCCTTTTATTTTGTTTTATTAGATAGTCCATGTATGTGGACAAATGTTTTTTTTTAATGAAGTTGCTTTCTACAGCTAATCATAGTCTGTGAAACAATGAACCACCATGAATTTCTAATGATTTTTAAATAGTGTTGGTTTATAGATTACATATGCTAATGAATTTCTAGACAGTTCTGGTGTAGACTACTCGAATGGGAGTTTTACTCTAAGATCTATATTGTTCCTAGTTAACAACATTTTACAAAAATATACATGATTCCTTACTCCATGTCAATTTACTTTAGTGTAGAAAGTGACTATATTTTGACATGTCTAGGTTTTATTTGTTATCTAATGATCTAGCTTTGATGCCAACTTATGCAGATACACTTTACAGGGTACCACTAAAATTGAACTATTCTTTGGCCTTTGTACTAAAAAATCAAGTTGTTATTGCTACCTCAGGAAAAAGAACGGAAACTTGATTGTGAGTTCATGTAATAGAAAGAACTGGTTCTTATATGTTAAAATAACTGACCTTATGTTGTCTACCTTCACCTCGACATCAATCCAGTTATCCCTTCTTACTGTTCTATAAGCTAGCTGAATCACACATTCAACCTGCTGATAAATGAGTGAGAAGAGAAGGCGCTCATCCTGTGTTGCTTCTGCAGGTTCCTCCATGCCCATGGCTATGACTGGGCAGTACAGCTGCACCTTCCAGAGCCCGCTTGCTGAGAGGGCATATGAGAACAGCGGCGATGATACCCCAGATGACTGGTTTGCGGATCTCAGCTCAACGATCCAGTTAGTTACTGCGAGATTCATTGTCTGCATCCACTGGTCCTCAAGGTTTGCCCCAAGCATCTTTACAAGGTTCTTTGCGGCATCTCTGCACTTTGAACCAGTAAGCTGGATTCTCAGTGAATCCAAGCATCCAGGACGGAGATCACGAGGAGACTCGTAGATGCACACCAGGAAGGCCAGGGACAAGAAAACTATGTTGAACACGTCCTTGAAGTTGGCATGAGGCTGTGCCCCAGGGAACCGAAATGACAATTTTTTGTCTGGACAATACCTCATCACTGAGTTGACAATGTCAACGAAGACCTGTATCATATCTTGTTCATCTAGAGTTTGCTGTGTCTTTGTCTTCAGATGGACTGGTTTTGACGTCCACAGGGAAACTGACACACTGTAGTTTGCAAAGATGGAGAAGGTAACATAAGAAGGCTGGGGGATGGAAGGGTTTTTCACAATCGAGAGGTTCATTGATGGCTGTGATGACGCTGATGATGATGGTGTGGTGCAAATGCAAAGGGACATGGCGCTGGTGCGCCAATGGGTGAATGGGGGCAGGCTGGTGATCCAAGCCCAGGCATCAGGCACAAAGTTGGAGGCCATTGCTCTAGTGCTGGAAACTTAAGCTGGTGGTTTGATGATCGATGAGGGGAATAGGTAGATTTTATAGAGGACGAAGGCAATGTTTTTGGGATAGAATTCTGGTCGACGATGATTGAGTCCAGTAAGGCCCGGCAAAGTTTCGGGTAAAGCAGATTCTCGGTTTGAAGATGGGTGTCTGAGTTGAAGAATTTCTGTTGTCAATTGGACCTTGAGGAATCTCCCTTTTATACTTCCGTGCTGAGCCAAGGGTAAATCGGTGCAACATATTTCTGCTCAAGTTGGTGCCTTATGCTGCAGTGAAGAAAACAGTGTGATTTTAAATAAGAAAGCTGGGGAAAGCGCGATGCTAATCGCATAAACTAGGGTAAGTTGGTGCCTTATGCTGCAGTGAAGAAACAGTGTGATTTTAAATAAGAAAGCTGGGGAAAGCGCGATGCTAATCGCATAAACTAGGGTGGATCCTGGATAATTGCTTGCAGTGAGAACGACACGAAGGTGTTGGTTTATTTGGTGTGTACGTCTGAAGGAGTCCACTGTTGATTTATTTGGATTCTGCCGTTCTGGACGATGAATTGATGTGCTAGCCTTGTACGGGAACCTTGCGCTGTCGATTGGTAATCGGAAGAATCTTTTTTTTCTTTGCTTTCGTGAGGTTTCAGAATTTAAACACCAATCGCTTATCGGTTGTCTAACCGCCCAATTAGTCCTCATCGGTTGTCTAACCGCCCAATTAGTCCTCAAGTTCCATTTTCATCCATACGTAAGACCAATTCCAACAGCTCGGCTATTAAAGTATGCTCTAACAAATGTGCTATTTGACTTTGCAAAATAGAAAGCTGGCTATCTTTTAATTTTATGTGGTCATATAAAGCCAACCATCGACACTAGCTATCTAAAAATAAAAAATAGTAAGGCTGACAAAATGACTAAACTATAGAATTTAGCTACTAATTTTAGCTAAGCTATTGGAGTTGCTCACAGCTAACATTTGGGAATGAGAGAAATCCCTTTTATGCTAAGATAACCAGCCCTCATCAGGCTAACGAAAAACTTAGAAACACGCAACGCAATCGGGCATCTTTGGAAAGAATGGCTGAACTGATCAAGGCTTAACTAACCCTGTGAAATCTCGCACAAGCAACAGGTCCGCAGTCGCACCGCATCTTTGCTCATACGATAGGCAGTTTGGCGGGCCAAATCCCTAGAGTTAGGACCATATTCCTTGCTTAGCAGCGTTGCACTCCGTTCACCAACTCAATGCATTGCCGCAGAGTCCGATTCCACCAACCGATCGCACTATATATGAAAAGAATAGAGATGCTACCAGTTCACCGGACAAGAGCGATTCCCTTGCAACAATCATATCCACTGGCTGCCAATTAGAGCTGCCAGAGCTAGCTAGATTGCTACCATCAGCATTCAGCAATTACGGAGCAAGAAATAATGCTCTAAGGAGCGTGTCTCGAATGCTGTAAGGAGCTCGGCATGTACATTTGAACTCCCCAAAATACTCATGAACCCTCAACAATTCAGTAGACCGCCTCATCACCTATACCATATCTAGTTTCTCAAAAGGCAAGCAGCAGTAGACTGCCTGAACGTTACACAACAGAACATGCTACTGTGGCCTTAACCATTTGGTGGCATTCTGTGATTGTCAATTCCGAAATGCACTACCAGAAAAATAGGTGGCCTTGTCTTATACTCCTTCCGTCCCCAAATAAATCAACTTTTAGAGTTGTCCTAAATCAAACTTTTGTAAGGTTGACCAATTTTATAGGAAAGAATATTAACATCTATGACACTAAATGAGTACACTATGAAAAATATATTTCATGGTGTATCCAATATTTTTGTGTCAAAAATACTGGTCTATAAATTCAATCAAACTTGCAAAAGTTTGACTCAAGACAACTCTAAAAGTTGATTTATCCACGGACGGAAGTAGTATAAGTAGGGGCAGAAGGAGGGAGCAAAATTTTTCTCAACCCAGTGACTGTTTTGGGAAGAAGGTATACTCTGACCAATGTGTAGAACCAGCAAGAGGGCAAAGGCTGCAAAACCATAACTCTGTTCCAAAAAATTGGTAAGCTATGAGATCTGTGGTCCTGTCAAACGGTGATAGCGCAGGCAAAGGCCCTCCTCCCAATGGATCTGCAGCCAGAGATCGACCAGCCTTGCCTCTCATTGTAAACTTCAGCCTGCGAAACAGCACCAGAAGAAATTCAAGAATCCAACAAGTCCAGGGAAAATAAATCATGGGAGAATAACAACCAACAGACTTACAGTCTCGATAGTTTCTCCAGCATCATTGACCCCACCAATGAGGTACAGATTATCATTCATTGTCACCGCACATCCGTATCCTCTTGCGATGCTGGATGAACTGCCTATCCTCCATGAATTGGCACGCGGATCAAATATTTCTACAGTGGAAATCTTGCTGTTTCCATCATACCCTCCCACAGCGAATCTGAAACATAAGCTATCCTGTTTCAGTGTACACAACAATGAGGCAGATTATGCAAGTCTTGGGTTGCAAGGAGGTCATAGGATGGAGATGGAGAGAAAGAGTCTCGGAACTCACAAGGATTCCCTCATGACAGCTACGGAGTGGGATCCTCTTCTTGCACTCATACTTGGAAGCAGAGTCCAGAAACCTTCCCTTGGGTCATATCTTTCTGCTGATCTGTGTATTACCATCATTTTGTCAATAGCAAAGTCAAAAGACATCTAAATCACAATCATAATACTGAAAGAATGGTCAAGGATCATACTGTAAGTACGTGTTGCCATCATAACCACCAGTTACATAGAGTGTACCACTTAATACGGCTGCAGCAGGAGCAAATCTCTGGAACAACATATATATATATATATAACAAACAAAAGCAAAAATTGAGTTCTAAATCAAACCATCGTGGGTAAACTAGATAACACTGTTGACCCTGGATCTCCTTGCACAGGTGAGCAGCTAGCTCACCAACACCCTCACACACACCCTGTTTGACGAGATTTTGTACAAAATTTCACTAGTATGCATGTACATCTATACGTGCTATTGAAAATAATAGTAAAAGGAAAAAAAACATGAATCAAATTGCATTGGGCCGTGATGAGCTAATGCATAGTGCGCATGTTTATTTACGTGTGCTGGAAAAGAAAGAAGCTAACACGTTACTATGCCGTGCATGCATGCATACGTGTTGACATGCAATAGAAGAAGTTAGCAAGTATGTATACGTCCATGTGTGGTATACACTTCTCAAATACGGCGGAGCTCAAACGCCTTTAATTAGCAAGCGATCAAAGCCCACCAGGCAGCCATACAGCACATGGCGTCTGTGTACTGGGGGGTCGAATTCAGATCCTGTGCGTATTATACGGCGTATAGGTGAAGCCGTGTATGGAGTACGATCTTGTACCTCAACCACAGTCCAGCCCGGTGAATTTTTGGGCCGGCGGATGGGAAGTCCAAACCAGAATCCTTCTAGAAGCGTTATCACAAGGGATAATTGCGGCACGTGGATGCTTCACCCGGCGTACGAAGGAAGGAGCGGCTCCGGGTATGTCGCGCTCGCCAACAGATTTTAGGTGGCGCGTGCGTGAGGCCAGGAGTTCCGCTGCTACCCTAGCTGCTGTCTATATAAAGGACCCTCAGGTCATCACGGAGAAGATTAATCACGCCCGGCCGATCGGAGGCAGCCGCCACCAGGGCGCTATCCATTCAGAGGCTCAGAGCGGATCGACGAAGGAAGGCAGCCGCCGGCGCCAGGAGCATGACCGCCGCAACGACACTAGCGGCCAAGATCATCACCAGAGGCAGCCGGTCTACCAGCACCATCCAGATGGCATGATGGGATCGAGACGGACCCGGGTATGAGCCGCCGGCCCGAGATCGAAGGCAAGCAGAAGGCAGCCGTCTCGCCGTTTTCCGTCGCAAAAAGGCTTGGCCGGCTAATCACAGGCGCCGAAGATGAGCTCCTCTACGTGAGGAGCAGTCGCTAGTAGCCCCGCAAGCACGAGTAGACGGGCTCGCCGGCCTGGACCGGCGCCATCAATGCGAGATGAGCGCGGCCGTGCGGAAGATGGAAAAGGTGGCCACGGCACGGCACCAGCCACCTCTATCCAGAGCGCATCTATGATCGGCAGCGGCGTTCCCTCTACGCCCACGTTCATCTACGTCAGCTAACCGTGTCGCCGGAGGAGATCAACGCGTTGTCAGACGACCGCGCCGGCCGGAGGCGGTCGCCGTCTGCATCGGCTTCATTACGCCCAGCGAACAGTAGCGAGACTTTCATCCGATTATGCGTTCAATCGGAGAAGAAGAAGGCGTCCTTGAGGCGGCTCCATGTGAGGATCGGGAACGCTGCCGATTGCACCCCATGTCCGATCAGTGTCCCGCAGCGCGTGGCGACATCTGCTCTAGTGCCTCGCTCATCGACGCGCCGTGAGTGGCCCGCAGCCGCACTCTCCTGCTGCACTGTCGCTGAAGGATCGTCGGCCGGCAGCAGCGTGCAGCCGCACTCTCCTGCTGCACTGTCGCTGAAGGATCGTCGGCCGGCAGCAGCGTTTGAACACATATATGAGTAGAGGTGCGCTTGTATATAGGTGCATGCATGCAGGACAACAAGGGCGTCGGCGAGCCAAGCTGATTTCCAGCCGTGGTACGTAGGCTCCTTCATCGCTGCGCCAAGCAGTCCAGATGCTGTCGACAACGGCTCCACATCCGCCGCCGCAGCCGCACTGAGGAGGCGAACCCGGACACCGTCGATGACGGCTCCACACCTGCACCAACGCCGCCTCCACACCACGGAGGCGAGCCCAGACGCCATCGACGACGGCTCCGCTCTTACACCATAACAACGCTGCCGCACCCGAGAGGTGAGGTCGGATGGCTCAGCGCGCACAAGCAGCGGTTGATCGACGAACGCCCGTGCCATCTACCTGTCACCGCGACGCGGGGCTACTCCGCGCCGCGCCCGTCGAGATCAACGGCGAGGTGCTACACCCACATGCGTGCTTACATGCAAACTAACAATGCCATCTACCTGTCACCGCGACGCGGGGCTACTCCGCGCCGCACCCGTCGAGATCAACGGCGAGGTGCTACGCCCACATGCGTGCTTACATGCAAACTAACAAGCAGGAGGGTACCAACTACCATCTCGGCCAAGCTGCATATATACATGTATATACGTGTACGTGCATGCGCTTGAATTACCTCTATTAAGGAATGTGTGCCTTGCATAAGAAAACTACAAGCAAAGCAAACCATAGGGAGCTCGGCTGTCATTCGAGCCCTGGATCAAATTTGTATAATTTTATTATCTTTTGTGTATCAGGCCAGTGAGGCGAAGCTGATAGTCTAGCTGCGCTACACCGACTCATAGGCTGGCGAGGCCTTCTTCAACAATCCCACTGTGATCAAGTTCTACAGCGTACCACGACGATGCTGCCGAAGAAGTCCGAAGCGATCCAAGCTACACCAACCATGTAAGTGCGACTACGATGACACCACGTGCCGTTCGACACGGACAAGGCGAACAACGCAGGCGGACATGGCTGATATTCCAGCCATGTTGTACCGGCTCATGAACGACGAGGCCCTTACGCCAACGCCACCCACATCTACACCAACACCATGCATGGAGACGTGAAGCGAAGATTGAAGATGACGACCACAGCAGCGAAGAATCAGAGGTACTCCGTGAGCTACCTCACGGGGTAATTAACTAGCGACCTTCCGAGGCCCGGGACCCATGAAGACCACGATCGCCCAAGTTAGAGATCGCCATTTGGCAAAGCTATGGAGCGCATATTGTTTTAGGAACTTGTATTTGTTATTTTGTTAACTCATGGTTAATTAATAAAATACTCGTTCCTCTCTTTATTTTTGTGTACTTTAGTACATGCACGCCCGCACCCCTTTCCCCACGAGAAGCCGCTTAAATGGATTTTCTCAGTGTCCAAACACACCCACAGCTAGAGGTAGAAGAAGGGGGTGACAACAGAGCTTGAGACACACCACGAGAACAGCACTGAAACTCTGAATGTGTGTTCAATTGAACTGGTTTTCTCCTTGTATTGCCTAGTGAATATATGCACGAGTGTAGAGGTGAGTACACCAACTACAATGTCCTCTAGGACATGGCTGAGATCAGCCTTACCAACTATGTATGGCTGAGGTAAGCCACTACTACTAGTGGCCTATTGCCACTTCTAAGTGTACAGACTAGTACAAGGAGGCGATGGCCTATTGCCATACCTCTACAGAAGCTAGCAAGAGCTGACCGAAATGGTTCAAACTCTGCTGCAGCAAAAAAGCTGAGAGAGGAGAGCAGCAGATTATCTCACAAACACAAAACAATTAAGTCATGGACACATGCAGATGATCCTTATCCTACAGACACAAAATCACATGAAATAGCGCCCAATTCTCTCCAGCAAATACGCTCACGCATTGCAATTTGATGCATACTCCCTTCCACTCACAAATTAGTAAATGTTTTGGGGTTGTCTTAAGTCAACCATTTCAAGCTTGTGTCGCATGTTACTTTTTAAATGTTGAGTTTGGATATTTGAGAATGCTAACAGTAGATTTATCTCAAAATGTAGTTTCATAAAAATGAACCTCTTCTATATTTTACAAATACTTCATAATAAGAAGTACTAGTCAAAGTTGTGTTTTGCAGACCATGTCAATGCCCAAATCATCACTTATTTGTGACTGGATGGAGTAGGAGTAGTTTGATATAGACTGGAAAAATATTTGTGAAAAATATGTACGATATATGTTATTAGTTCCAAAAGAAACTACATTAAATTAGAGATATGCAGAACTACTTCCATATAATATACACACTCACCATCCCAATGCTTAAACAGCTATCCATATTCTAATGCAGTTGATAATTACTGATCTTACTATAAGAATGAACACTGCTTTGCCAATTTATGACAAGCAAACAATAATAAAATAATATGACTACCTATTGCAAAAGCTTGCTTCTTCTTGTGATCTGGAACTTTTAGCTACAGAGTTCAAACAATTTCTCCCTATAACATTTCCTTTTTAAATTTTGCTCCATTATATGGATCCTGAACCTTGTTAACCATAACACGAGAATAAAGAATGGACTAGTAGGGAAGCCATCAATAAGTCATTCTAGCTTTGTCCTGAGTCAAGCTTCTGTAGTTTGACCAAGTTTGTAGAAAAATGCACAAACAACAACACCAAACTAGATTCATAAGGTACATCATAACATATATTTTGATAGTGTATTTGTATGATATTGTAGATATTAGTATATTTTTCTATAAACTTGGTCAAAGTTAGACAAGTTTGACTTAGGACAAAGCTAGAACGACTTACAATTTAGAACAGAGTGAGTAGTTTAGAACATTCTACTCTATATCCAACAAACTAAATGTGATAGGAAGTGTGAGACTGTGAGACCATACCTTTTGCCGCATTGACACACTGTCTATCCACCTCCCAAGTGCTGGATCAAACATCTCAACTTCTGAGAAAACTGCAGACCCATCTCCACCACCAATAGCAAATATTTTATCATTCAATGTAGTTCCAGCAAGGCTTCCTTTTGCATGTTTCAAGCGGGGGCATGTTATCCATTTATTACTGCCCATACTGTAGCATTCCACTTCAATAAAAGGAATGCAGATAGTCAACAGCTTGGAACTTATATAAAACACTTGATCATGTTAGAACATTTACCTGTGTGATACCATGAACTGCCATCCCCACCACCAAAAATATAGAGATGATCCTTCAATGCAGCTACTGCTGCATATGCACGGGCTGAGCTCATTGAACACAGAGGCACTACTCTGTCTGTCTTAGGGCAAAAGGAATCTAGTGATGACAGGCAAGTACTGCCCCTGTAGCCACCTATTAGGAATATTGATGGTCCTTCCATATTATCATGTGGACTACCAAGGAGTGGGACCAAAGAGTTATAGTTTGATTGTAGTTTCTCATAGTGGTATTCCAGTTCCTGAATTCTTCTTCCTGTGTCCTTCATCGATTCCCTCAGAAACAGTATTTCTTTATCTGACTCAAACTGGTAGATAGAAGAACCACAATTAGGAGGGAGATTGCACATATACCATGCATCAATACCACATAACTCGGCATCAACCACATCTACAAGGTACACATATCATATGTAATTCCATAATTCTATTGAACATCTGAGCTAACTTCAAAATCCAAATAACCACAGATATGCTAATGCAGATCCGGAGCCAATGAGGATGTTAAGTGTGAAGATCCTATCTAATAGGCCTATATGCCTATATATTGCCATGAGGCTATCTATATATAGTGACTCCTTCACCTGTGGAGATTATCTTCTGAAAATCCCCAGGTTAGTATCATGGTATCAGAGACATGGATTAGGGTTAGGATTAGGCTACTCTAATTCACCCACGATCCAATTTTTCTTTACCTTGGGATCCATCCTGTCTCTTCGCGGCGTCGTCCGCCTCGTCTGTTCGGCTCATCGCCGCACATCCGCGCCGTTCGCGCGGCCCGTCGGATCCTTGTCGCGTTCGCGCGGCCCGTCGTCGATCCTCCGCGCCGTTCGCGCGGCCCGTCGGATCCTTCTCGACGTTCGCGCGGCCCGTCGTCCCGTCCGTCGCCGATTCTCCGCGCCGTCCGTGCGGTCCTCCTCCGCGCGTCAATTCGCGCGACTCGTCGATCCGCGCGAGTCGGTCTTCCGCGCGTTGATCCGCGCGATTCGTCGCCAGATCGTCTTCGTCGTGCCTTGTCCGCTCGGTCTTCCGTGCGAGCAGAGGACGCCAGGCCGTCCTTGTCGTGCCGCACGAGTGGCTCCGTCTGGACTTCGTGCCCTGCTCGTCCATCAGAGGTTCTGCTCGTCCATCAGAGGTTTCTCTGCTCTGCTCTGTTTTTCCTCTGCTGCTGCTGTTGCTGGTCTGCTCTGTTGGCGGTGGTCTGCTCTGTTTTTCTATTCAGTGGTGCTTGTCATCTGCTACTGCTTATCTTGCACAATGTCGCAGTCGCAATTACTGTCAAATGCCATTGTTTTTCCTCTGAAACTTGATGGTCCATCTAATTATCGAGAGTGGGCTTTCTCTGTCAAAACTGTACTGCGTGGACATGGCCTTGCATCTCATCTGACAGATGATCCTCCAACTGACAAGTCGGAGGATGGTTCTGGTGCTGCTGCCGTCACGACTTGGACTAAGGATGATGGCCGAATCATGAGTGCCATAGTCACCAGCATGAAACCCTCACTAATGATGAGCCTTGAGCACCATCAATCTGCTAAGGAGATGTGGGACTACTTGCAGGGGAGATATGTTCAGAACAGTGGTGCACTTTTGCTTACTCTAATGCAAGGACTTCATGATCTTCAGCAGAATGAGATGTCTATCGAGGAGTATTATACTGCTTTTGATCGTCTGATGGGACCTTTTCTTTCCATGGTTCCTAAGTGTGAGACAGGGTGCTCAGGCTGCTGTGATAAGAAGAATAAGTTCATTGAAAAATTCCTTATATATCAGTTTTGCCATGGTTTGCGGCCTGATTTTGAGTCCAGTCGTAAACAGTTGTTAAATGCTTCCACCACTCCGTCTATTTCTGATGTGTTGTCCGCCTTGATTGCTGAGGAGACACGACTTAATTCTCAGTCTCCTGTATCAGTACCTCACAGTGTTCTGGCAGCCTCTCACAAGACCAATACAGTGAAGGGCAACTCTTTTTCGCCTTGTGTTCATTGCAAGAAGACTACTCACCGTTCAGAAAATTGCTTTGTTCGGTATCCTGAGAAGTTAATTGCTTATCGCTCACGCCATCCCAAGCAGAGTGGTCGTGGCGCCGGTTCCACCCCTACAGGCTCTGTGCCTGCAGGTTCCACCCCTACAGGATCTGTGTCTGTTGCTGCTGCATCACCTGTTACTGCTCCTTCTTCTTGGGTGCTTGATTCAGGAGCCTCTTTTCATGTGTCATCAGATCAGTCACAGCTTGTTGCCTGCAAGCCAATTGCAGATGATGCCTCTATTCAGACAGCAGACGGTACATCCTGCCACATTACTCATCAGGGTTCTCTTTGCACCTCTAATTTTTCTGTACCTAATGTCTCGTTTGTACCTCAGTTGTCCATGAATCTTCTTTCAGTTGGTCAATTAACGGATCACAATTGTTTTGTTGGATTCGATGACTCATCTTGTTTTATTCAGGATCGTCGCACCGGGGCTGTACTTGGGACTGGCCATCGCCGTAGAGGTTCTCATAGCCTCTATGTTCTCGACACTTTACGTCTTCCTCACTCTACTGCCCATGTGTCACCCGCCGCCGCTGCTGCATCTTCATCAAGTACATCGCCATCGACTTCATCTTTCGCCAAGTGGCATCATCGCCTTGGTCATTTATGCGGGTCTCGTTTATCCACCTTAATAAACAAGGGTTGTTTAGGTCCTACATCCATTGAGTCTAGTTTTCAGTGTAAGGGTTGCAAGCTTGGAAAACAGCTGCAGCTCCCATATTCTACTAGTACTTCTCATTCAGCTAGACCTTTTGATATTATTCATTCTGATGTATGGGGTCCTGCACCTTTCGCTTCCAAAGGTGGTCATAAATACTATGTTATTTTTGTTGATGATCATTCTCGATATACTTGGATTTACTTTATGAAACATCGCTCTCAGTTGTGCTCTACTTATCAAAATTTTGCTCGCATGGTGCACACACAATTTTCCACCCCCATTCGAGTTTTTCGTTCAGATTCTGGTGGAGAGTATTTATCTCACACCTTTCGCCAATTTTTGACTTCTGAAGGCACTCTTGCTCAGCTTTCTTGTCCTGGCGCGCATGCTCAAAATGGGGTTGCTGAACGGAAACACCGCCATATCATAGAGACTGCCCGCACACTTCTTATTGCATCTTTTGTTCCTTCTCATTTTTGGGGAGAAGCTGTGTCCACTTCTATTTATCTCATCAACAGACAACCATCATCAAAATTGTCTGGTCAGTGTCCTGGTGAGGTTCTTTTTGGTACTCCTCCTGACTATGACCACCTTCGGGTTTTTGGCTGCACTTGCTATGTCCTACTAGCACCTCGTGAGCGAACTAAGTTGACTGCTCAGTCAGTTGAGTGTGTTTTTCTGGGGTACAGTCCTGAGCATAAGGGTTATCGTTGTTATGACGCCTCCTCTCGCCGCATTCGTATATCTCGTGATGTCACTTTCGTTGAGGATCGTCCTTTCTTTTATAACCCTTCTACTCCACCATCCCGTAGTTGTACAGAGTCAACATCCTTTCTGTGTCTTCCTCCTATACTTAGTGATGTTGACCCTCCTACACAACCCGTGTCTTCCAGCCCACCTAACACTTCTGTATCTTCTCCTGACACTTTTGAAACTCCTCCACTTACTCATGTCGACCCTCCCCCACTTTCTGAACCTTTGTCTTGTCAACCTCCGGTCCAGCAGCTCCCATCCTTTGACAAACCACCTGTCCACAAATACTACACTCGTCGTCCCCAAATCCCCACAGCCACTTCTTCGGCCAGTCCTGCTACTCCCGATGTTGATAGTTCTATTAATTCTGATGAGTCATGTGCTTTTTCTGATGAATCACAGGGTGGTCTGAGATATAATCTACGAGACCGTGCTACTATTGGGCCTCCTGACAAATATGGTTTTCCTCGTGTCACCGCTTTGTTGTGGAAGAGCCAACCACTTATCGAGAGGCCTCTAGCATTCGAGAATGGCAACTTGCTATGTGTGAGGAACTTGCTTGCACTTGATCGTCATGGGGACACGGGATATTGTTCCATTACCATCGCATGTCTTGTGCCTATTACATCCAAGTGGGTCTTCAAGATTAAAACCAAGTCGGATGGTTCTATTGAGCGATATAAGGCCCGCCTAGTTGCTAGAGGTTTTCACAAACTCGGGCCGAGATTATGATGAGACATTTGCACCTGTTGCTCATATGACATCTGTTCGTACTTTAATTGCAAGTGTGCTTTGCTTCTTCTTGGACAATCTCTCGGATGGATGTTAAAATGCGCAACCACCTCCGGTGTTAGTGCCCCCTCAGAGTTATGTTTGTCGTCTTCGTCGCGCTTTTATATGGTCTTAAACAGGCTCCTCGTGCTTGGTTTGAGCGCTTTGTCTCTCATCATTCGGGCTGCTTTGGTTTTTCACCTAGTGATCATGACCCGCCTTATTTATCCACCTCTCCTCACGTGGGACGTACGTTTTTGCTTCTTTTATATGTTGATGATATATTGATTACGGTGACGATGCGGACCAAATTTCTTATGTCAAGCAGCAACTTGGTGCACAATTTCAAATGTCGGATTTAGGTCCTCTCGGTTATTTCCTAGGCATTGAGGTCAAACGATGCGCAAAGGGTTGCTATCTTTCTCGGTCCAAGTACATACAAGACCTTATTACTCGTTCGGGCATCATCGACCATCGGACAAATGCGACACCTATGGATCTTCATTTGCATCTTCGTCCCAATCGATGGTACTCCTCTTAAGGATCCATCTCGATATCGGCATATTGTGGGCAGCCTTGTTTATCTCACTTTGTTACTCGACCGATATTGCCCATGCCGTCCATATTTTGAGTCGGTTTGTGAGTGCTCCACGACCGTTCATTTTGGCCATTTACTTCGTGTCTTGCGGTACTTGAGGGGACATCATCTCGACTTATTCTATGCTCGTGACGGGTCGCTTCACTTCATGCTTACTCGGACTCCACTTGGGCGAGTGACCCAACAGATCGTTGCTTTATCACAGTCTTGTATTCTTCTTGGATCCTCTCCTATTGCATGGAAGTCCAAGAAACAAGCTGCTGTATCTCGTTCTAGTGCAGAGGCAGAACTTCGAGCACTTGCCACCACTACTGCAGAAATCGTATGGCTTCGATGGTTGTTGACTGATTTCGGAATTTCTTGTGATGCTGCCACACCTCTTCTATGCGATAATACAGGAGCTATACAGATTGCCAATGATCCTGTGAAGCATGAACTTACCAAGCATATTGGCGTCGATGCTTTCTTCACTCGCTCTCATTGTAATCAGCATACCATTGCTCTTCAATATGTGCCATCCGAGCTGCAATTAGCTGACTTCTTCACTAAAGCGCAAACTAGAGAGCAACATCGGCTTCATTTGCTCAAACTCAATGCTTCAGATCCTCCATTTCCACCTTGAGTTTGAAGGGGGGTGTTAAGTGTGAAGATCCTATCTAATAGGCCTATATGCCTATATATTGCCATGAGGCTATCTATATATAGTGACTCCTTCACCTGTGGAGATTATCTTCTGAAAATCCCCAGGTTAGTATCAGAGGAAAGTAAAATAATCTATCTATTTATACTCTAATGGATAATAATGCTTTCATTTTTCCACCTAAACGGTCAAGAAGAGCAGTACCAGTTTTTTCTCCATTGCTTGGTTCCTCTTGGATAACTCTTTGACGATGTGAAGCAGCTACAGACAACAAGACATATCAGATAGGACTGCCATAGCAAACATTACAAATAATACAGTTGAAAATATGGAGCATAATCCGAAAGTAATTTCTGTGAAAGAGAAAGCAATAGAATGGAATAGCTTAAAGCACCTCAGCATTTCCACGAGATTGCCCTAATGATTTCAGGTCTTCAATACGTACATCACCCTTTGAGGTGGAATCAGATGGGTCTGTGGGGAGTGTGGCATCAAACTGTGGTTCTTGAGGCATTGGTTTATTTGAAGCAGAATCAACAGTGTCCTTGGAGGATTGAGCCTCCTGCTGTCGTAAAACAGACATCTCTTGTAGTTTCTGCCTAACAGCCACTGTGCCATACTGTTCATTATGTTGTGGATTAATATGTGGATGATCATCATTGACAAATTCAGTTCCTTCCTTGGTCGCAACATCATCTAAATCATCCCAGTTAGAAGACTCATCGTCAAGGTGGCTTGTTGATATTCTACTCGCACTAGCATATTCACCATCTGGATCAACCAACTTGTATGCGGGTCAATACAATGAGATTCAGAAGAAACATCAAATGGATTGAGATCCTTTATATAGGACTCAGGCTTCGCATGACCAGGATTAACATATGCTTCGACTGTTGGAGATTGCATAGATCTGGAAGGATCCCATTTGTTTGGAACATCATGAACAGGGGCAGGCTTAAACAAAGATATCAAAGCTCTTGTTTGTTCATGGTCTAGTTCAAAGAAGAAGTGAGCGAGGTCTGTAATAATTGCCACGGATCACACTTTGGAATTGAGACTCTGGAACTGGAAAGCAGTGAGTCTTCATGGAGACGAGGACCTTCAAAATACACAAGTCACTCACGAGTCAGTAAGCTTATGAACCTATGACCAGATTAACCATACATACATGGGTATGGTGCTGCATAAATGGAAGGATTCTTATTTGATGATACCTGTGCAGGAAATTGTGTCTTTATTCTACCACCATCACTCCAAGCAAATTGATCAATGTTAAGCTTGCCAGCACATGCAGCCTCATAAATTCCATGCATTTTTCGGTCACTATAATTGAACAGAAATAGGGGCATGCCAGGTTTAACATTCTTCACATATGAGAAATGGCTTGAAGGCAAACCTATTGAACAAAATACTGACGAGAAGTCAATGTTCCAAAAAGCTAAGAACTGATGTGAGGATGACAGTTTATAGTTTTATGGGGGAGATGATTTAATTGCAGTAGCGGCGTTGCATTATAAGGTGGAAAAGGAATTGCTAGTTAAGAAAAAGGTGGAAAGGAATTTACTAACCAAACAGCTGTTTAGAGAGGCATTCATTCATGGTGTTGTGTTTGCAGCCAAAAATCACTCCTCCTAGCTCATCTTCCCGAAGATTACGGGCAGCAACAGAAAAGGCTCCATACCATTCATTGCTTCGATTTTGTGTCTGTGCACTTGGTGTTGCAGCATAGAAAGTTTCAGTCTTCCTTCCAGCACCCATTCTTTGGAAATCATGAAAAAACGTGCAAAATGGCAACATTAATATGCATACAGCATACATGCAGGGGCAAGTTGGACAAACAAAATCGTTACTGAGATAATTCACCATAGGTAATATGGAGTAATAAATGTCTAAAAATATATTTGGAACCAGTAATACACTAGGACCACGAAGCCACCAAGGAGAAGCAAAGGGCAGATAAAAAGGGAAGTAATGTACAGAACATCTACTAACAGGAAAGTGGAAAAGAAAATCTAAATAATCATGGACTCCCAGTTACTAGTTCATAGGTATGTTTGCTTCGTAAGAGTTGTTCCTCATCTCAAATGTTCATAAAACGTCCATTCTTTGATAAAACTTGAAAGTTGAACAAGTATGGACATTATACATGCTGATGCAGGTAAACTAGGAGTACCAAATTCAATAATCCATAATGAAACAAAATAAGTAACCAAAGGAATTCAAAGACTCCATATAATGTGCAATTGGATCACCACCTGGAATAACAAAAATAATAATAATTCATAGCACAAAAATAACAACCCAGCTTTCTGTCATGCTGGTCATGAAAATCACTGCTGATACACATCTCATCATCAGGTGAGCCATCTAGCAAGCCACCGTGTTAAATTCTGCACCTGGGCAGAACAGAAGTCAAAAGGCTACTCAAGTACTCCACAGCATTCGCCAACCACACAGAAAAGTGGAATCATTCCCCAGTTTCAGTGAACCACGCACACATGCTTTGTGATATGCAAACAATTAAAAACAAAATAAATAATACAACAGTTCTGGCCTCCCAAATCCCCAGCTCCCCTAAATACCAAAACTCCAGCAATTTCGGAGTAGCCAAGCTGCACCAGAATCATAAGCGATTAACTGTTACAACAAATGCAGGTCTGAAAAAAAAATGGCAAAAATAATACACAAAATTCCGGCAATGTCCCCCTAACGAACTACATTAAAAGCAGACCAGGGAAAATACACGCGAAAACCAACAAACGCCTCGCAGGAAGACGTCCAATCGCAGCTCCGCTCTTACAAAGCCCGCAAATCCCAACCCCAACTGCCCAAAGTTCAGAACCACCTCAACCCGTTGCAACCCAAACCAGGCTCGCGCATTCAGCCCCCAAACCCTAGCCCTGAAACCGCTCAAAACGGCGCCGCATCGCCCACCGCGCACCGACAGGCAAGCGAGCGCCAACCCGTGCCCGCATCCTCCCAACCACAACCACAACCACAAAACCCGCCTAAAACCCCACCAAAACGGGGGGAAACCAGCACCGATCGCGCCCAGACCGAGACGAGAAGCAGGGAAGAGGGATCGCTTACGTGCTTGGGCGCCGGGGAGCGGGGTTGATCGGCGGATGCTGCTACAACCACCGCTAGTTCGATCGCCACGCCCGCGCGCGGCAGCGCCCCGGAGGTAGTAGTGCTCGTGGTAGCAAGTACTAGTACTCTACAGTACTAGCAACTATCGGCCGCTTGCGTGGGCTAGTCGGGGTGGGTAGGATAATAGAAATGGGTGTGTGCGCAGCACGTGCCAGGCCACAAGTGCGGAGACGACAAGCTCCCTCGGTTTTGGGTTTGGGCTGCTCTGCGACGTACCGACGAGCTCTGCCCAATTCAAAAGGCCGGTGGTGGATGGGCTCAGGCCCAGGAGCGCATGCCAAGTAACTCAGTATATATGAGTGTGTTTGTATTAATTTTTTCTCGAATACACACGAGTGTGCGTACCATTGTATTAGAATAAAGAGTTTATAATATAAGAGTTCCGCTCCCGGCCGTTAGTTTTTGTAACAGGATACTATAGCGTGCATGCCAAGCACTGATGCAGGTACGAATACACAAAATACATGGCCATGCCTGAGAATCATGCTGTTATGACCGGCGTCACATATACCAGGAGGAGGCCCATTAGTGGCTGAGCATGTGCGCCGGCATTAGAGGGCTAACAACCCATATTATCTATTATTTAGCCTATTTATTAGATATATCCCTTATTTTTTAGAGCTATATATATGACTTGTAAGACATTTGGATAATCAAGCAGAAACAATCTTAATTGTTTCCGGCTTCCTTTGGGAGCCGGGATTTGCCCTAGCCGCTGCCTGTTCATCTTCTCCACGCCTGCAACCTCGCGACGACGCCCAGCCGCCGACAGCGAGGTCCCAAGCCTACTCCACCTCCCTCTCACCCCTATAGACTCCGTGATCTACGCGGTAGGATCCGTAATCCTATCAGCCTAGTATCAGACTGCTCAGGAACGATGTCGCAACCTAAGCCAACCTCCTCCTTCCCACCACCACCTACCTCCACCGCGCCGCTCCAATCTACGGGCTTCGAGATCTCAGATGCCTCGACGACATCTGCTGCGCCGCTCACGCTCGAGTCCTTGGCGGCTGTGATCCTCGACATCAACCGCAACATCGCGTCCATGCAGGCGGCTTGGGCGGGGCTCGTCCAGCAGCCCTCCCCCCCACCATTCTCGACGCCGCCGCCGCTAACGCCGTCGTCCACGGGGGTTCCCTCTGTGAGCTCTCAACCGCTGCTCCTGGCCTCGAGTTTTCCTTATGGGATGCCGGTCTCAGGCCCTAGAGTGCCACTCCATCTTCTGCGCTGGCCGGCCTCGCCGTCCCCGATTCCATCATGGGCGATGGGCTCGGCTGCTCCTCCGGTCTACACCAACGCCACCATCATCACACAATCAGCAGTCGTGCCCGCGACGGTGTCAGCAGTGCAGCAGGTCATCTTGGGGTGGACGCCTCCCTCCCCCGGGGGCCCCACAGCAGCAGATCAGGCCGCTATCTTCGACGCCCAGGCTGCGCCAAAGTTCTACAAACTCGAGTTCCCCACGTATGACGGCACCGTCGACCCGCTGAAAGGTCCCTATGTGGTTTTGGTAATTGAGTGACAACCTAGGTGGACTAATTGTGTTTATGTGAGATACACAGGTGATTAGTCCACAGGTACATGTGTGTGAGCAACATATGCCATGAAGGTGAAAATGGCTTGGAGATGTTGCAAAGCTCACACATGTGATGATGAAGGAGCTTAATGCACATGAGACATGACATTGAGTCATGTGATCAAGGTGGAGAAGATCAAGACAAGACTTGGCTTGATGGACCGGTTGCAAGCGTGAAGGGCAAGTCGAAGGCTTTGGAGTGATGGACCGCGTGGCGGTGAAGCTTGAGCAAGACTTGGCGCCGATGGACGATGGCAACGGTGAAGGGCAAGTGAAGTCAAGATCGATGAACCAATATGATCACGTGATGATATGAAGTGGATCATATCATTGTTGATCGTGTTGGTGCATGTGTTGCATCGACATTGGAGGAGATGGAATGGAATGCGCAAGGCAAAGGTATAACCTAGGGCATTTCATTTCACCCGGTCATAGGTGTGTAGAGAAGTTGATGACCGGGTTTAGGATAGATGGTCGTACTATCAAGAGGAGCAAACTTGTTTGCATATCGGTCATCTAGTGCCACTCGAGTGATCTAACTTTGCATCGTCGCTAGGATCGAGTGGCGTGGCAAGTTGAGTGGCTAACATCCTTTGGGAAATGATTGTGAAAAGCTAACACACATACACATGGTGGTGTACACTTGGTGGTGTTGGCACATTTACAAAAGGAGGTGGTGTTTGCAGGGTTGAGATGGGTTTGGGTCCCTCTCATTCGGCGCTTTCGGGAAAATGGAATGCCTATTTTCTATTGCGCCGGATGTAAATTCTTGTGGTTGGCACATTAGAGCAAGGGTGAAGAAGTTAGAAGTGAAAATGAGTTGATCGCGAAGACGCTGGCGTCGGTCAACTGACCGGACGCTGGGTCTGAAAGCACCGAACGTTGGCAGGGTGCGTCCGGTCAGGCTGACGTACGGTGACGCAGAAGCTGGAGTGTGACCGGACGCTGGGCTGCGTCCGATCACGTGCGACCGGACGCGTCCAGTCAAAGAAATACGCCTCGGGTACCTTACTGGAAACGACCGGGTCAAGTGACCGTTGGAATCAGGACACGTGGCCGTCTGCGGGCGACCGGACGCTGAGGTCCAGCGTCCGGTCAACACGACCGGAGCGTCCGGTCGGCCCGATTTTTGCCCAGTGAAGGGGTAACGGCTAGTTTAGCCCTTGGGGCTATAAATAGAAGTGGCCTTCGGCCATGGCTGGCATTGAGCACCTAAGGGGACTTAGTGTCTATGCTTGTGAGTGCTTGGGAGCCCTCCATCACACATATACTTGATAGTGATCATTCGATTGTGTGAGTGAGCGATTCTAGTGCGATTGCATCGTGAGGTTGCATCGAGTGACACTAGGTGATCGAGTTGCAAGCCGGTGGTGCTTGTTACTCTTGGAGGTTGCCACCTCCTAGATGGCTTGGTGGTGGTCTCCGTCGAAGCCCACAAGAAGCTTGTGCGGCGCTCCGGAGAAGTGCTTGTGAGGGGCATTGTGCTCGCCCCGCAGGAGCCGCGAAGAGCAACTTTAGTAAAGCGTGTCATTGAGCTACCCTCACTTCCGGGGTAGGTTCTTGTGGCGCCCGATGTGCGGGCTTGGCGGGTGATGTCAATTAGCCACCAAACCACCAAGTGAGCGGTCGACACAACGGGGACTAGCGTGTTGGCAAACACGTGAACCTCGGGAGAAAAATCATCGTATCAACCTTGTTCTTCCCGTTGGTTTGCATCCCCATTACACAAGCTTGCAATTACTTTTATACATATTAAGCTTATGTAGTTGCTCTTGTAATTAGATAGCTTGTGTAGCTTGCTAATTACCTTCTTGCTTGTGTAGCATAGAAGTAGCTCCCTTGCGTGGCTAATTTAGTTTTAGTAACCTTGTTAGTCACATTGCTTAGTTTGTGTAGCTAAGCACTTGCGCTCTCTAATTAGGCATTGGTTGCCTTGTTATTGAGCATTGCTAGTGAGCATAGTTAGCTTTGTGCTTTTGCTTACTAGTATGTGTAGGAGCTCCCTTGTTGCTTAAAATACTAGTGGCATAGG